GTCCGGACAGAGGACAGTCCATCCGTACGTCCAGAACCACGCTGCAAAGGGAGGTCGAGCTGCGGTCAGTGCCTGAAGCTGACTGCACTGTGACTGCAAGCTGCAGAATGTGCCATGGTGCATTAGCGCGCTGCCGCCTGGGTGAACACCAGGCTCAGAGGAGGACGAACCAGAAAAGAAGACATGGTGTGGAGCAGTCCTGATATATTGTATCGAAAGCAATATCAAAAAAAGAATTTGCAATTAACCCGGAACTACTACTCATTGACAGGTCTGTTGGCCGATCAAATGCATGATGTCATCATGGAGGCTCTTTTACTTCTATCAATGTTAGTGCAATAAGCTATTGAACGGTTTTATTGGTCAAAATGGCAAAACACTACAAAAGTGAGTCCAAGAATACTCATTTTGTCGTCTTTTAGTCATCAGAAGCATGACTCCCACCACCACCAGGGTCTAGACCCCAATGGTCTCTATTCAATTCCCTCCTGCTTATGTCAGGGTCTTATTGCCACATCGCCATGTAATCAACCGACCAGGATCCATGTATAGAGTTGTTTGCCCAGGATTAATGTTTTATTGGGTTAGGGTCAGAGTGGGCGACAGTGGCTCAGTTGGTAGAGCAATGGCCTTTGGGCCTGGAGGTTGTGGGTTCAAGCCCACCACGAGACCTACTTCCTTACTCCCACTGATGTGTGCTGTGTTGTGTCCTTGGACAAGACATTTAACCCCACTTTGCCTGAAGCCCCCACTGAAAGATTTCAGCTCCGAACCAGAAATGGATTAAGGGGAAGAAAATGGTTGGATGGGTAGACATTAGGGTAAGGGTTAAGGTTATAAAGCCTAGTTTATACTCGCGCGGAGCTTACGGAGGTGACGTGACGTCACTTGCGCAACGCGTTGGTCACCGCAAGGCCCTTACGTCGCCTGCCGCGCAGCATCGAAATGTTCTAACTACGTAAGGGTCGCCGCAAGGAAGCTCCGCTGTGATTGGTCCGTGTGTGAGAGAAGCTCCGCTGTGATTGGTCCGTGTGTGTGTATTGGAAGGAAGCATGAAGCGGCTGCAGCAGGAGCATGGACGAGGCACTATGGAGCAGACTGTGGACTATCTAACATATATATAACTTATATCTAACATATATATAACTTATATCTAACATATATATATAACTTATATCTAACATATATATAACTTATATCTAACATATATATAACTTATAAACTGTTCCTGTCTTGTTAGAATCGTAGCTGCGTTTGTTGCTTTCCTCCTGCACTCGTAAATCGTTCATGTTTGTCTAAGATATTTACCACTATTATTGTTTTGCTGTTTGTGCTGAAAACTATTTAATAATAACTATATTTCCAACAGAACTGTGTCTTTATTCACAGCATCACAGTTGAAATGACTTATAAAATAATGAATCCATAAAACTATCACATAAACCTACAGTAGAAACACGTGTAATGAGCTCAAACAGCTTTGTTTGTTATTGTTGTTCTGAAGAGGACAAAGTAGCAGCGTAAATGGGACCGCTCCTGTGTGATCGCCCTCATGTGGTTTGTTGTGGGATTACAACATTCTCCTCAAAACTCCGTAAGGGGAACGCGCCAGTATAACATCAATTGTGCTTACGTAGGTCCACCGCAACCGCTAACGTAAGCCACGCCGCGCAAGTATACACTAGGCTTAATGAGGGTGCACTATGGCTAGGCTTGTTCTTTTAAAGGCTGAATGTAAGCAGGGGGAGGGGTCTAATGCTAATGTACTAGTTAGCAATTAGGATATTTTTTAGAGGGAATGCCTTTTTGGATATTGATGAGGAGAGATTAATTATTTAAGAAAAGGAGAGGAAAAAGTGAACATCATGATATTCAGTGTGGATGATTTACTATGGTTATCTGTGTAGCTATAAGTGAAGCTATCATCTAGTGCAGAAAGGAGGGAGCAGATTAAAGTATAGCATCAGCGCACTTACACATGGAGCTCGGGGGCTTCCTGAGGTCTCTCATCAAATATACAACGCATCAAGCCTGTACGGTCGCTCTGAATCTACTCAGTCCCCTCCACCACTTCTCATTTCTCTGACTTACATTTAATCCAAGTATGTGTCACTTCGAGTTTTCCATCTTTTGGGTTAGAAAATGAAAACATTTCTAAACGGAATGGCAGTGGGATCTAGAGCAGTGCTAAAACAGCTTTTCAAAAAGGTCACCAAAGAAACTGATTCTATCTCAGACTTTTCTGATTTATAGTTATCTTCAAGTGTTTGTGTGTATTGTTGAAGAAAACACATTATTTTGCAATGACCAAAATCTGAAGTAAAGTGATCTTTGTGATGGTTTTCAAGATAAAAATGAGGTTTATCTTTTGGGGTGCTGATGATTGAAATCAGAATCATAATCTGTGTGTAAGAAACACTGTGAGAGAAAGAAACTGTAATGAAGTTTAACAGTTTCTCCAACTCTGCTTTGGTTCTGGAATGAAATGGTCTATTATTCTTTCCAAATATTTATAATATTGAAAATAATCACAAAAACATTTACAGTTCCAAGGCACAGTTGTTATTGATAAGCGACTTCTGACATATTGGTTTCTACATTGATTGGTTTCTGCCAAAAATGTACATTTGTAAACATTTTGAAATAATTTTCCAATCAACTGTAGGTTTGTGTGACCAGTCTGTGACTACAACCAAATGGGTGAAAAAATAATGCAAACATTTATCAAAACAAACTCTTTTCTAACATGTTCCACCCGTGCTGTTTAGATAGTTCTGGCAATGCCCTGGTGCGTGTGGAGAGCTAACATCCCTTTGGTCCAGTGCCACCAGCCACCGCACTGACAGATGGACTGTGATTGGATAACGGCTCTGACCAATAGGAGCGCTGGCTGAGGCACTGCTGGGACATGATCTCATGCTCATCCTCGCCCTAAGCAGGTTGCACTGTACTATCATTCTGCTGTTAATCTGCTCTGCACCAACTCCATGTGGCCAAGCTAATGTGGGCAAGCAAACACTGAAATGTACCCAAACAGAGCTGTCATTTAAAACTAATCCAGAACGATTTGAGAAAATACATCATTTTCTGTAATATTCCGAGGGTAATTAGTGTTTTGAGCTTTGAAATCAAGAATCAGTCATGCTGATTTAAAATGCAAAATAAACAATCTTTATGGCAATAAGATCTCATGGATAGTAGAGACAGGGTATTCTGTTATTTATTAAAAAATATAGATATTATATAATGTGTATAATATTTGCATGAATCCTACAAATATACTATCCTAAAGCGCACATGACACTGCTGCTGTTCCTTAAAGCGCACAGTGACAGGGATAGGGTGATTTACGGTCATACCAGTATCATTTGGATGGACTGAAACACTAAGACAGCATGTGTGTGTATGAAAACTGATGCAACAAGCTTCTCTACAAAAAGTATTTTCTCAAGTTGCACAAAACTTCTGATTAAAGGTGCCACAGTAACTGGTGTAGGCGGTAACCTCCGCAAAACTGCAGAGGCTCTAATAAGTTTTACCATGGATCTACTACAATACATAGTTTTACAAACGCGCAGTGAAGAGAAGAGACGCATGGAGGAAACTGTCTGTGGAAGCTTAAAACCACGATGATCCGACATGCCAGGAGATATACAGAGCCGTGGCTAAAGCTAATATGAGCTAAAAGCTTGTCAATACTGGTTTAGTCCTGGTTTAGTCCTGGTGTAGCTCCTGGTTTGGCTGTTTACGAGTATCTTCAGTCTACTCGCTCAGATCACTAATGTCCCTGTGACCACTTTGTGCCTCTCTGATTGGTCGCTGCACGCTCGAACGGACGTCACCATTGACTTTGCATTGAAAGTTGACGCAACCCATGATCCGGTCTGAACGCCCCATTAGCCTATGACAACAATTCAAGAACATGGTGGAGGTAATATTCTTAAATGTAAATTATCCAATATGTTATTGGTTAACATGTTTTTTCATTTGGAGAAACTGTAAAAATTACACAGAGTACTTTTAAGGCTGTAAAATGCTATCTTACTAATGTCCTGTTTGTGCTCTGCAACAACGACATTTCCCTACTGTGTAATGAATAATTAATACAAATCTTTTCTAATCTAAATACTCTTCTGTTTAATACTGATGCATTCTTAGACTTAAACTCTTTCTGTAGAACACATTTCCCATATTTTAAAGTCCCACCACAACCAAGATGTTTTATCAAGTGATGAAGTCCTTTGGCACTTGCTTCTAAACATCTCCAGTTCATTCCAGCGGACCCACTTTATTAGACGGGATATGACAGTAAATAGAATTTCAAACATTCGCTCTGAGAGGGAAAGTCATGTCAGGGGTCGCTGTCCAGGGACCAGTGCTGAAAGTCAAACATGAAATGGCTCTACACTCCACACAACCTCCCCCGCGACATGTGACCGAGGTCAGAGACCAACACAGGCTACAGAGCGGCCGGCGCTGCTTTGCGGGTTTATGTGTCTTCTGGGGACTTATCAAAGACTTAATTTTCACACAACTTAATCTTGAATGACTATAAAGACAGATACAGTATGCTCCTAAATCCAATGTGATGATTTAGTTTTTGGGATAACGCTTTTGCTTCATATTCCCTCCCCACCTGGAGATGAAACAGTAGTGACACAATTCCAATGAATAGTATTAAGCATATATATATGTATAGATATTAAGCATATATATGTATATTGTGTGGTGAAACATTTCAAAATACTTTTAACATTTCTTCTTTTCAATTAAGGATTTTTAACCACAAACAAAAGAATGCAGTCTGTTATTTTCCTTCATTTGAGCAATCATTATAATGACCTCCCTCCAGGACATAAAGGACATAAACCACTTCTGTCTTGTTGTATAGTAATGTTTCTGTCTCAATATAAAAGGTCATACTTAGAACATGTCTGAGTCCCCACATTGTCCGATACACACACACACAGTATATATTATAGATGGACTCATGAACTCACCCAGAGCAGGGTTAAAGAGCACTGTCGTGGTAATGGCCAAAGCCTCCGGGAGCAGGAAGACACAGGTCCATGGACGGACTATCCTTGACCCTCAGACGGACTCCGGCAGAAACCACCACAACAAAGTCACACCTTAGAGCCCTGGATACAAACCATCACGTAAGAAACATCAATGCACCTTCATACAAATACCATGAAATGAGTTAGTTAATGATGCAAAAGCAGACCTGCATGACTGGACACGTAAACCATTTTGTAGGTCTCTTTTGTATTTGTATTTGCAGAACAAATATTTGTGAATGTACACTTAAAATAAGAATGATGCTTGCATGTGCTAAGACAGAATTTGTTTGCATTAACAGAGCACTTGAGTTTATCTCAGCACAATATGATAATTGGGTCGATTTGTAGTCATTTAGAATCTAAACAAAAACAAAACATTCTAAAGATAGAATCCATTACATCCTGGAGCGAACACGACCAGTGGTCTGAAACTGGAGCTGGTCCCCGGGCACTGGAGCTGGTCCCCGGGCACTGGTGCTGTCACTGCCCTGAGTCTGACTAACTCATCACAAAACTAAGTTTGACTTTGAGTCAATCACAAATGTCAAAGCATAAATCACAGGTCAGAGGCTTTTCTGGGGGAAAAGACCTGAGCCATTTTGTAAATAAGATCAGAATAACTTGTGATCAAGTGCCATGAGGATTAATAACTTCATGAAATTAATTAGACAATCTAACTCATTTTTTTCTTATTAACAACAGATAACAGTAAGATTGCCATTATTTTATAAATTCAGAGTTAAAAAGTGAGACTAATCCAGAGTGCATTCTGGATGCAGCTTCCTTGAGTTCGTTGTGGGGTCAAATGGTCAGTCTCTGAAAGCAAATCCTGGCACTCGATGAGCTGATCGACAGCACAGTCACTGAGACATGGAGAATATAAATGTGCTGATGCGGCCTGCAGCGTGTTGCATTGATCTCCTTTAGTCAGATCTACTGTGTGCAGCCGGTGCTGAAGCGTGTGCAAACCATTTCATCTGAATGTGTAAGATATCTAAACCACGTTTGAAACATAAATAATATGTCACACGAAACACAACAAAGCTAGACAAAACCCAAACACAAATGACATTGATTGGAAAAGGAAGAAATAGTTGTGTCTAGTGTCTTGCAGTCAGAAAGTTTGCACATTTGCAAAACAAAGAAACTGTGTGGAGACTGCATGTTCTCCCAGTGTCTGCATCGGTCACTACTTCAGTTTCTCCTACCTCTAAAACATGTACTCCTCCCCTGTGGGACGAGAAATTGTGAACTCTCAGCAGTATTATCCTGGTAAATAATCGATACATGGATAAAGGACTACTTGATCTGATGTAAGGCAGACATCATTTGTACATCTATTAAAGGAGAGAGCTGGAAGTTGGGCAGTGTCAAAAATCAAATTACCTAAGTAAACTGGCATTGAATGTATTATTTTTGCTAAATGGTTTTAAATGTAAATGCATGTGCTCTTTATCCAATACTTTAAGTCAAGAGTTAAAGCTGGAGTATCTAACTTTGAAACTGTAGATAATTAGGATATTCATGTAACTGGTTCCTAACTACGACTACTACTAATGTTATGAATGTAGCTATTGCTGCTTGTAATAATGAATAACTCAACACTGTTTGGTTTTATCATTAGTCTTCACATGCATCTGCCGGGCCTTACTCAGCCAATCACAAGCATCTGCCGGGCCTTACTCAGCCAATCACAAGCATCTACAGGGCCTTACTCAGCCAATCACAAGCATCTACAGGGCCTTACTCAGCCAATCACATGCATCTACAGGGCCTTACTCAGCCAATCACATGCATCTACAGGGCCTTACTCAGCCAATCACATGCATCTACAGGGCCTTACTCAGCCAATCACATGCATCTACAGGGCCTTACTCAGCCAATCACAAGCATCTACAGGGCCTTACTCAGCCAATCACATGCATCTACAGGGCCTTACTCAGCCAATCACAAGCATCTACAGGGCCTTACTCAGCCAATCACATGCATCTACAGGGCCTTACTCAGCCAATCACATGCATCTACAGGGCCTTACTCAGCCAATCACAAGCATCTACAGGCCTTACTCAGCCAATCACATGCATCTACAGGGCCTTACTCAGCCAATCACATGCATCTACAGGGCCTTACTCAGCCAATCACAAGCATCTGCCGGGCCTTACTCAGCCAATCACAAGCATCTACAGGGCCTTACTCAGCCAATCACATGCATCTACAGGGCCTTACTCAGCCAATCACATGCATCTACAGGGCCTTACTCAGCCAATCACAAGCATCTGCCGGGCCTTACTCAGCCAATCACAAGCATCTACAGGGCCTTACTCAGCCAATCACATGCATCTACAGGGCCTTACTCAGCCAATCACATGCATCTACAGGCCTTACTCAGCCAATCACATGCATCTACAGGGCCTTACTCAGCCAATCACAAGCATCTACAGGGCCTTACTCAGCCAATCACATGCATCTACAGGGCCTTACTCAGCCAATCACAAGCATCTACAGGGCCTTACTCAGCCAATCACAAGCATCTACAGGGCCTTACTCAGCCAATCACATGCATCTACAGGGCCTTACTCAGCCAATCACAAGCATCTACAGGGCCTTACTCAGCCAATCACATGCATCTACAGGGCCTTACTCAGCCAATCACAAGCATCTACAGGGCCTTACTCAGCCAATCACAAGCATCTACAGGGCCTTACTCAGCCAATCACATGCATCTACAGGGCCTTACTCAGCCAATCACATGCATCTACAGGGCCTTACTCAGCCAATCACATGCATCTACAGGGCCTTACTCAGCCAATCACAAGCATCTACAGGGCCTTACTCAGCCAATCACATGCATCTACAGGGCCTTACTCAGCCAATCACAAGCATCTACAGGGCCTTACTCAGCCAATCACAAGCATCTACAGGGCCTTACTCAGCCAATCACATGCATCTACAGGGCCTTACTCAGCCAATCACATCTCATTATGTAAAATTTATTTTCTAATAAGAACAAAAGTATGTTGGGGTCGTTTGTTCACAACATGTCACTTTAACAAGACTCTTTATGTTGGGCCAAACAGTGTATTTATGAAACCAAAAAAGTTAGGTTCCCCAGCTTTAATGTTGTACAGATTTCCTTGACCCTTCCCCGCCCTCACCTCCATCTCCATGGTAACGATGGCACCAGCCTCGGTTGTCCCCGCCCTCACCTCCATCTCCATGGTAACGATGGCACCAGCCTCGGTTGTCCCCGCCCTCACCTCCATCTCCATGGTAACGATGGCGCCAGTCAACAAATCTGGGAAAAGAGGGAAGAGCAAAAGGTGATAACATTATCAAGTAAACTTACTTAAACCGTAACGTGTTAGCTAAGCAGGCGAACACGTGTGCGCTGAAAGCTGCAGACGGTTAGCATTAGCTAACTTACCTGTCGGAAGCTAACAGTAAGGCTAAGTTAAATACTACCAAGTGTTGAGGTGTTACCAATGTATGAGAACTTACGTGGTGGTTATTTGCTTTTATTGACGATGGAAACGTCTTATTTTGGCATAGAATTCAGTTAGAATGCTTAACATGTAACTTTTACCTTTCAGAAGTGTTCGCCCCCATGCCTCTGGCTCGGTCCCGGGCTCGGGGAGAGCGCCCCCTGCTGACGACCTGCGGAGGAACTCAGAAAGCTCCGAGGAGTTTCTGCAGAGGCTCGTGCGCACTCTGAAGGTGGACGAACAGGTGACGTCACATTTTATTCACGATATTAACAAACTTTTACGTGTTTCATTTGTAAATGTTCAAACAAGATCGAGGCAACACTGTTATTATAAACTCCAAAGTAGTCTACTCTTTCTTTGCTCCTGCAGAGACCACTTGGGATGAATAAATTATTAAACAGGAGTTATAATAATGTTTTCTATTCACCTGAAAGCAGATGTTAATCTATGGACATAATATGAAGACATAATTTAGTATGTATTATGCATTGTTAGACAAATGAAATAATATTATAATGACACAGTAGGTTCAAGCTGGAGTACCTATAATACTAATACGTTATTAAAAGTGATTTTGGTTTTTCTGTCACATCTTTACAGATTTTTCAGTGAAAGTGTGAGTTCTAGCCTTCACTCAGCATGTCAGAACTCAGTATTTAAAAGATAAAATGTTTTCTAGTAAGATAAAGTCAGTTTGTTGTGGTCTGATTTGATCTCAAAATGTTACTTAAAAGGTCATCTTTCTGTACAAAATGTATCAGCAAAGGAACTCCATCTTTACTTGATCACAAGCCACTTATTTATTATAATTTAAAGTAGATAAGATATGATATTCCTTTATTCGTCTCGCAGTGGAGAAATTTCAGTGTCATCGTCGTGCACATTACAGCAGAGAAAGAAGTAAAAAAGAGCACTCAGATTGCACAAATCAAAGTAGATTCCATATTCAGCATAATTCTATACTGTATGTATTAGATGATCAATATGTTTATTTCATGTACTGTCCAGTGAGTCCATGTTCTGCTTTGGTCATCTCCAGGGCCTGTCCCCGCTCCACGTGGCCTGTATGCAGGGTCAGCTGGGCAGCCTGCAGCACATGTTGGAGTCCGGCGAGTGGTGGATCAACAGCAGCGACGACTCCCAGGGACGCAGGCCTCTTCACATGTTCCTTAGCATCCAGAGTTCTCCTCAAGCTTTGACCTGCCTGCGCTACCTCCTGCAGCAAGGGGCTGACGTCAATCTGTGAGGAACGGCACTTGTAGATACACTTTCATGCTCAGACCCACATTAGCCATTGTTAATTAAAGTAACTGAGCTCCCAGTGCCCTGTTATACCAGCTTGGATGTTTTATACGCTGGCTAGGACTGAGCCAAAACTCCTTAAAGCAGGGGTATGCAAGTCTCCAACCCCTAGAAATTGAACTAATACATTCCACTCACTCTCTAAACCGTTTGGTTCTATCACTAGTTTTTCACATACGTGCCTTTTTGGCCTCTGTCAAAATCTTACAATCAACTATTTCAGACAGAAACATAACAAAAAAGCCTCAGCTCTCAGCCCAAAGCAACAGATAGTGACTCACACAGGGCTCTTTCGTCAAGATTCAAGGTTAACTTAAAATGTTCGGATGCAAATGTGTCTTGGCTGTGACATGGGAAAGTAAACACAAGACAAATATAAAATATACACTAAAGTGACACAGACATAAACCATCAACGTTCTGCTATGGCCTGTATTTAGGAGGTTCACAGATAAAGGGAGGAGCAAGTTCTTATCTTATTTTAGGGAGTCTGTAGAGGCAGCCGGATGGGGAAGCTCATACTGAAGAAGGTAAAAAAAAGGCACATCATATTGTGATCAGCCTGCCCAGGGACTGCAGGTGGAAATTAGCATATTAGCTATAACCTGGTACAATACAGCTCTCCTTTGTGTTAATGTTTAATTGTACACTGTCCCTGTTCAAGTAAAGTACATACCACACAGTATAAATAAAGTATAATATAATAAAGTACATACCATCTCGTTCTGTCTGGAGTCTCCGGACAAAACAAACATATCTTCAATGGGGGAATAAATAGCTATACCTAAGCTTTAAACAAATGTACCTTGCCCTAGGGAGGCTACTATTATTTTCACTCCAGCCCGGGATGAACAAATCTTTCTGCAAATCTCTCGTCTGGATTCACCACACATAGAGGATAATATAGATTGATAATACAATATAGAATTATAACTTTATCTCTCATATCCACCATGATGCATGTGATTGTGGGTTCCTCATGTGCTCAGTCCCACCGCCTCAGGCCAGACCCCGCTGCACGTGGCGGCGGCTGAGGGGCAGATGGCATATGCTCAGATCCTGGTAGAAGCTGGAGCCGACCTGTTCGCCCGGGACCACTCCGGACTCCTGCCTTTGGACATGGCCCGGATGTGGAATCACAGAAGCATCGGCAGGTAACTTAATTAACCTTGTAATTTAGCCATAATGGTGAACTACTGCAGCTACAATGGGAATGCTCAAGGATATTTTGGTTTTAAACTTCCAAGAATCTGATGGAGTGATAAAATACATGAATGAATGTGTTTGCAGGTATCTCAAAGACTGCATGTGGCGTGAACAAAACAATAAGGATTTAGAAGCGAGGATGCAAACTCAAACGTTATACTGCGAGCTGATGGATTGTGATAAACGGGAAAAGATAAACAAAAAGGTAAGGCGTGTTGTAGTAAAGGTAGCTGTAATGAGCTATATTTATCAAAATCTTTCTCTAATTTTAGCCGACAATTGATAAAAACGTTGCAGAGTGGGCCAATAAAAAGGGGATATCACTGAGGAAGGAGTTTTGCCCTGAAGTCCTTGTCAGTCAGTTCCATAAGCAATGCCTTATTTCCGATAATAACCAAACCCATAAAGCAAAAACTATTGAAAGCCCACGGGTTGAAGAAACATCTCCAGATGATAATGGCACCCCTTCTACATCAACTCTGGAGCAAGAACACAAAAATGTAAAGTCTGTAAAGTTTCCTCCAGTATCCAAGTTGAAACCATGGGCGATATACACTGCCCCAGAACCAGACAGCCCCTTAGTTGAACCAGATTTGAGAGATAAGGTTAAATTATGGAGAGATAGCACTACAACAAAACCACATTATAAATCCAAGTGGGATCGGACGCCGCATGAAGCTCCCGCTCTCCCAAAGGATACGATTCAGAGAGTGTTGTTCCCTCGAGACTTCCCCCCCAGGATCCCAGCGCTCGGTCCCTTCCAGCCCAAAGGCATAGAGGGCGTGCAGCACAGGGCCTGTCCCCAGGGTCGAAGCAGCTCAGCCTGGACAGACGTGGCCATGCACCTGCAGGAGACGCTGGAGCCCGGACACTACTGAGGCAAAGTGGAGGGCAAATACAGTGACAGGTTTCATTATTGACTAAAGATAATGAGAATTGTTGTTTAGGAAATATGTGTTTGAACAGAATGTAGATCTTGATCACATAAATTAGCTGAATCTTCCCAAAGATTTAGTTAGAATTAAGTTTAGAATATGCCAAATGTAACACTATCATAACAAATTAGTAGTATTTATGTAAACTATATCATGCTTTAGTTCAAGTATAAATTTAACACTAGTGCAATAATGTACATAAAAGATTTTTACATTTAAGGTTTAAGGCTTTTAACTTTAATTAAATTCCTTGTATAAAGGTTTATGTAAAGCAGGTGGATGTGGCTTTTAGATATACAGAAAAGAAAAAGGGCTTTATGTTTTTTAAGTTTGCAAGATTCACAATATTTTTTATTTGCCTTCTCCCTACTCCCTTGCTGAAAAAGTGGAGCTGCTTTGGAAGATTTGTCCAGACTTCATTCCAGTGAATGTTGGTAAATCTATAATGACCGTTTTAGTTGTTTGATTTTCTAATCTTGGCAAATCGACAATTTAGTGAAGTCGCATGTTCGGATTCACACAAAACCCAGAACACTCTGACCATCGACCTTCTCTCGCTCCATGCTAAGGCCATCACACTGTTTTCCATGTAATTCTTCAGTATTAGGTAAATACAGGTTTTGAGCTGAATCATATTTGAACATGTTTTTATATCCTCTGATAATCCACTCCAAAGAGCAGCCGCTCGCACTGAAACACACATTGATTGAGAGCAGTTCTAAATATAGGCACATATATGTTGTAATTATTTGCTTTTAAAATGGATTGTTGGTTAACCCTTATTATGATAAGAAGAGAACCTGCTGTAAAATAATGTTTAAAGTGCCAAAGCTGCCTCATGCACCGGCCCTTCAGAGGTGTCAGGATGGTAAATACCAGTGGGTGCGTGTGTGATGTGAGCTCGGTCACTTGTCACAGATGCACTTTGTTTGCCCCCGTCACCTTCTCACGCTCCTCCTGGGACCACAGCAGAGCCAGGTGAGCCCTGCCTCTAGTGAACGAGCTCCATTCTACAGCCTTTACACTGCTCTTCACACCTCTCTGTGAGGTCAGTGTGGACCAGAAACACAGCCGAGATGTCAGGGCATTATTGTGAAACTCATTCCACTATAACTCCTCTCACATCGGATTAGCATTACAGCTTCCCCATCCACGAGGAGGGAAGAGGGAATGGTGCAAGATAGTGGCTGAATACATCGATTGTAGACAATGTTTGTGTAGCATTGGGTTCAATTTACAATCTGGAAGTCATTTTGATGGATCAGTTCACAACACCATTAAATCAAAGTGATTAGAATGGTAATTGTTTACTGTGTTGAGCCAATAACAAATATTAGCAGCTTATTAACCAAGCGCGAGGTCTGTATGGAGAAATATCAGACCGCGGCCTTAATGTTTAGACCGAGCCGTGGCGAGGTTAATAAATGTTTTATTATATGACTCTCGTCTGTGTCTTTACCAATGCTTTTGAGATATTTGTGAAGTATGTTCATGTTCAGACCAATTGTCATGGTAACAGTCCAAGATGGGAAAATATCAGAACGGTAATCAGCCAATCAGAGCGTGCGTACGGTCCAAGTCATATAATGAAGTAATAATATAAGAATTATTTTTATGTTGGTAATTTCAGTTTCCACTGTACATCCATTGGCTTCGTCACAGTTTAGTTCCTAATAATCTGCGCTCCTTAGACCTTTTGACATTGGCCAACATTAGGAATGTTATTGGTCATATCTTGAACTTTCATTGCTCTTGAATAAAAGGGAATGGTTTTCAGTTTGTTCTATATTCATTAAGGCTTTTGGAAAATTAACTAGTCAACTTTGAAGAACTGAATGGTCCAAACTGACTTTACTAAATGCTGACATCCAAAAATAAACATTGCACGTTACAACTATTTCAAAACATTATTTATTGTTGTACAAAGTTATTCTGGCTGTTGATGCGCAGCAGTCAGGATTTCTAAAAAGAGGAAAACCAAACCCATGAATAGATCCATAGAAATGCTTTCCTTTAGTTTCAATGTTGAATGAATCTCACAAAACAGATAAATGGTATTTGATGGGAATAAGAAACTTTACACCTAATGTTTTTGAAACGGTTACCAAATACTAAATAGTACAGAAGTTGCCGTTCTGTAAACTATTTTTCATGTTCATTTTTCAGGTAACTGATTTAGATTGGCTTTACACCCGTTATTACACCATATAAATATCACAGCAGGCCACAAAAGTCCCCATTGTCCACCATTAGGTTCATGTAAATCCCACTGGAGCCTCTTCCAAATATACCTCAAGTCGCTGAAGCTCAACTGACTTGTGTCATTTAACCCTATTTCAATACGAGAACAATCAGAGCTAAAAACATAGATTTGAATTGCACCTAAATTCAAGTTGGATTAATGGTAGAAATACTTGAAAACATGCCTTGGTAATAGTCCCAAGACGACGATGTAATGCGCTACAAACCAACTCCATGGGGTCGATATTAGATGTTGTGGCAGTCAGAAAAACACAATCTTTGACAGATATGGCCTTTACTCTGCGACGCTCTGTCCATTGGTCCTCTTCTTTCATCATGGATACTGCTTCAGTTTTAGTCCACAGTCCTTCGGCCATAATCCTCAGTACAAAAGATGGCAAACTTGTTCAAAGAGTTTGTTCTTCTCAGTACATTTTCTGACGACTTGGAAGTATCGCCTCCTTCAGGAAGGAAAACACCAGCAGGATCCCAGACCGCTTTCCCCTCTTCCCTTTTGTGAAGTAATTTGACACCACGTCATCTGAGGCAAACAAAAAATAGCCACATATTTCAGTCAGTGCTATGTAAGACTAAAGAAGGGTTAGGGTTAAATAACTCAACTCAAAAGGTAAATTCTGAATAAAGAGATAGATACTAGATACTTCATTAAGAACAACAAGGAGATATCACATGTTGAGCTTTTCAATAATCAGACCAAGAGCTGGTTATATGGACAACATTTCTATATTCACGCCAGAATGACGATGGTTAACTACAATACACTACAATAGAGTGGATCAATGGAAACCAGGCATTTTAAAAGAAAAACTCCCGTCTTCCTTATAAATCAATGTTTCCATCTCGATACAATAAATCTTTAGCCCTAATCCACCCCAAGTCCAACAACTTTTAATACATCTTTTGTGTTTTCAGACTTGACATATCATATTAATCATTATTAATTTGTTGCTTTAAAGATTGATGTCCCCTGTCAGAGTCCAGATTGTTGTAATCATAATCCAGAGGTTATAATCTCACCTCCTTGCTGCATTGTGGATGGAAGGACATTTTCTCCCGCTGATAACGACACAAAGAAGGCAAACGGAGTAATCCACAGGCAGACAGTGAAGTATGCCAGTACCTGAGTAAACAATGTTTAGTACATTTTATATATAGCGTTATTAATCTGAATTAGTCCAAAGGTTGTGCATTAATGTGATAAGAGATTAAGAGATTACCTCTGAGAATGGATAATACTCTTGTGCAAAGTACTGGAAGGCCATATAATGGTTCACAACAACCAAAACTGCAACAAATGTTAACAGAAAGCAATCATAAAACTGTAACATCTCCATATGACATATATATATATATATTTATATATATAAATAAATAACCCATGTCTGTGCTCTTAACCAGACACATGTTGCTTGAGAAACATGGAAAATCCAATAAGAATGTAAGGTATTAATATTAAATAGCAATATTCCACTTTCATTAACTCAGAAGAGAGAGAGTAGAAATAGGGACTGATTTAAAGACATAATCCAATCTGTTTTTCCCTTTATATTTGACAAAAAAGAAAATTGCAGCAATTAACTCCAACACAATTCATTCAACATGTATTTACACAAATTATAACTAATTTTAAAGCTAATAAGTAGTGGGGGTTTCAAACTCTTTGGCGATCCTTGACTTAAAAGTTTGAGAAGTCCTGCACTAAACTGTTGAACTATATTGAGGTCGGGCTTTGGAAACACATTTCAAATAAGATAAGAAATGTGCAAAACGTTTACAATTCCAGTTCCGTAATGCTCACCACACGAGAGGATGAAGTTGGGGGAGCTGAGCAGGATGTAGGGGAAAGTCTGCAGCAAACCAAAGTACACCAGGTTTGTGAAGAGCCCCACTCCAACCATCAACATGGGGAAGCTTTCAAACAGATACAGCCCCGCCAGCACTCCTGTGGAGAACTGAGGCCACAGTATCAACTACAGTCAAAGCACCTTTAACTCTTTAAACTTACCACTATCATGTACTTAATTATCCTGCTTGTGGCCACTGTATATTCTTCTATTAGTTCTGCCAAATAGTACAAACCAGCAGCTGCGAAAGTGAAAATGGGAATGTTTACACAATATGAATTACATTATATGGTTAAAGAAGAGATCATACTTTTTCTGAAACTATAAAAAAAACTGACTATAAAAGACAGCCATACTTATGAATCTAAAATGGCATCATAACAAGATATTCACTGAATTTCATATAAACCTGCCCCTTCTACCTACACGTAACTTGGGGAATGTGGGCAGGCAAGAGGTAGGTAAAATCTTAGTCGGTGATTATTATTTTCAATTAAATCGAAAATTGAAGCAAATATTTGTGTTGCACGTTTGCCAATGGATGCATCTCATAAAGAATACGTTTACATGTGTTGGTTAAAAATGCAAAGTGTCGTCTTTTGAAAGCGAAAGTAAAGCCAAAAACAGGCCGTGACAAGCTCCTGTACTTCTGACAGCTCACGTCATTGGACAACTTGTCAACGTGTACAGGCTTAGTACGGAAATGCTAAATATCAAAACAAGATAGCGTTAGATTATGCTTATGTTTTTCTTTTTTTTTTGTCTTTGTTATTTATTTTTCCTTTTTTTTTCTTTGCTCTCCTATCCTCTCTATTTTTCTCCCTATCTTGTTTTTGTTTTTTGTTTTTCTCTTTTACAATTTTAATTTTGCACTGATCCAGTCCATTATTTTAATGTCTACTGGTAATTTTTCATGTGCAAATACGGATAATTGTTGATTACTGTACTTGTTTCAAGGATTGTTATCACTGTCAACATTGGTTTAATAAAAAAATAATAATAATAATATCAAAACAAGACTGTGTTCAAGCAGTGTCATTTCAGTCTAGGCTCTGAATGCAGTACTTTGCATTAGTTGGTGCAGGTTCAGTCGGTTCTGGCTGTTCATATTTGTCAAACATACACAGGTAAAGGGAATAAACATGCCAAAAGCGTGTATTTTTATAACTCACCAATGCTAACACTAGTAGACTAACTTTTAATCCTGCATAAATTCATTGAGCCATACTGCTGACCCAAATATATTGATTCGCTCTGAATAAAACTTCTCTGTCGCAGCAAAAATATATTTCTTAAACATGTGGCAATTTGTGAATATAAGTTAAAAGTTGAGGCAGTGAACTTTAGAAGCGGCATGACTTTAAAGTGGTGTGATGTGGAGCAGCGTTAGCATCGAGCTAACGTAGCACAGAAGTTATGCTAGCTGCAGCAGGCTCACGCGCTCCCACTCACCTATGGCTAACGTGACGAAGCAGATCTGGATGACTAACGACAGCCAGCTCAGCAAATATATAAACCACATCCTTATGCATGAAAAAAGAGGCACACAGACATGAAAACAGTGGAGAGGAGACGAGCTGCTGCTGTGACAGGGGCCAGTGAGTTTTCAGCAGAAGAAGAATGCAGAGGTTTGGGGACAGCGACTCCAGCGGTGAGGAGGGGTAATGTGATCCCAGGAAATTAATAGTTACCTAATGTAACTTAAGTTCTACGAATAGAAGAATGCAGAGGTTTGGGGACAGCGACTCCAGCGGTGAGGAGGGGTAATGTGATCCCAGGAAATTAATAGTTACCTAATGTAACTTAAGTTCTACGAATAGAAGAATGCAGAGGTTTGGGGACAGCGACTCCAGCGGTGAGGAGGGGTAATGTGATCCCAGGAAATTAATAGTTACCTAATGTAACTTAAGTTCTACGAATAGAAGAATGCAGAGGTTTGGGGACAGCGACTCCAGCGGTGAGGAGGGGTAATGTGATCCCAGGAAATTAATAGTTACCTAATGTAACTTAAGTTCTACGAATAGAAGAATGCAGAGGTTTGGGGACAGCGACTCCAGCGGTGAGGAGGGGTAATGTGATCCCAGGAAATTAATAGTTACCTAATGTAACTTAAGTTCTACGAATAGAAGAATGCAGAGGTTTGGGGACAGCGACTCCAGCGGTGAGGAGGGGTAATGTGATCCCAGGAAATTAATAGTTACCTAATGTAACTTAAGTTCTACGAATAGAAGAATGCAGAGGTTTGGGGACAGCGACTCCAGCGGTGAGGAGGGGTAATGTGATCCCAGAAAAGGATTCGTTACACAAGTTGACAGCCAAAAAATGGTCAGGGGTTTCTCAGCTGATTCAGACTAATGTTGGTGTTCTGAGTCCGAATATCACATGCATTCTGCTCTATCAGGTCAACTGTGTGAGATACAGCCACAGTGTTACGGATTATGTACGTCTACGTTATTATGAATTCTGCTTATCAAATTTGAGGGAGTAAATAAAAACGGAATGACTTTGGATACGTTGACTTTTATTTCTTGAGGAAAACGGAAAAAACGTCAAGGGTTTCTCAGCTGATGATCCGCAGAAATTTGTTTTTTACGCAAAATCGATTAAAAAAATATTTCTGTAGCAAAAAATCCTGACCTGATCCTAACCAAGGTTATTTTCAGACTCAGAGCAGAATGAAATTGAAGAATGATTCAGATGAAAACCCTGGACTATTTTCAAACAATACTTTTTTGTTACCCAGTGTTATAGATCCATGATGAGTACCTGTCACTATTATCCGTTAATATTTTAGATCTATGCTTTTATCCCGTTTAGTCAGAGGGAAATGGTGGAAAGTGGCTCTAACTGGTTTTAATTTGAGCATTAAATAATCATCTTTTTTTGACTCTCTAACCTAATTACACAATGGAGATGATCATGTAATATTGTGCAGCCTACTGACGATGTTTTATGTATCATTCCAAAGTTTAGTTCTGGGTCTGTTTTTACATCTAAATATATGCAAAACAACAACTATGACAACTCATATCGACAGACAGGCATCAAGAGGCCTCACAGACTGTATATTTATATGTGATCAAATAAAATAAATATAGATTTTTTAATGCTGTTGCTGTCACTTCTGTTGATTATATGGTGTATGTTCTTATTCAAACAATTATTCTATCTAACATGCACTAAGTAAACATTTCCGATTACAAAGTCTCTCAACGCTGTTCATTTGTGCAACAATGATCATTATATTATTCACAAGTGGTAAATATTAATGCACAGTGAGCATAATAGCCTCACAGCTCAACCTGTCAATAATTTATATCCCATCACTCCAACTGGTTATAAAAACATTATATTTCTTCTCGCTTTGAATGTAGGTATAGATAGCAAAACAATTATTTATAACCAGCCTTCATTTTAATGCATAAAATTAATGTAATTCTTCCAATAAATTGTTTATTTTATGTTCTGGTTTAGAACATTTTAAGCTCTACATAATTAGCCCAGGGCCCCAACAGAGCGTAGGGCCATTGCTTTCCCAGAGAAAACAGGGAAATCTAATAATCTCTCAAACAAGAGTGAAGAGCCCTCTCCTCTGCGTGCTGTGGCGAGGGTCTTCAGATGCCGCTTGCGGCTTTCATTATTAATATATTTTGCAAATAAAAATGCACTATGCAACTTGACTGCTAGAGCAGGGATGTCAAAGTCAACTATCAGAGGGCCAAAAGAGCGATTGGACTGGTTCAATGTTTATTAAAACAAACATAATTGCATATAACCAATTGAACCAAGACCTAACAGTGTACAATGTGTTAAAGGGTCCAGTTTTTGTTTGGGTCCGTCTAAATAGGACCATAAAGTTATTTTGTCGGCTCCAACTTGAGATCGAAGCTAACACATTATTTTAACATGAATGTTAAACCCAAAGCAAAAAGTAACAAACTTTAATCTTTTACCCTTTCCTTTGACCCAGTCTTGACTCAATTTTATTCATGAAAATCAACTACAAATGGTTCAAACACAAATCCAATATATGTAATAATAATTAAATATAGAAATTAAGTTTTACATCATAATGAGGTACATTTCAAGCAAAAATCAACATCTCCGAGGCAGGGGTTATTTTAAAGTAAAGGGTAATTTGTTTTGCTAATGGCTTTACTGCAGCGACATCACTGAACTGTTTAATCTGTCAATCATTTGTTTTCCATGTGAACATTATCTCAACTGCAATGACCCTGAATATCATATCAATTTCCTGCTTTTCTCTTTCTTCTGCTGTGCATAAACAAAGGAACTGCACAGAGACACATCACACTTTCCTTTGAAAAGCTGCCTTTAAGGTTAAGGTGTGAGGACAATGAAAAATGCAGGGGTGAAAAGATGGATCTTATGGTAAAAGGGGCTAAATAAAGTAAATATATAATGTGAAACAGTGTGAAGAAGGCACTTAAATGGTGTCAAAGCCAAAGGTGGGAGTACATTCATCTCATTCCAATGCTTTTAACAAATATAAAAAATGGCAGCTTTGGTATAGTGCGAGTTCGTTCATGCATATTTAGTGTGTGCTGGTGAGACCTGGCCCATTTAAATATACTTTAGCTGAGACTTACAGATCACCTAGAGTCCAGGGACAACACCTTCTGCCAATGACGGTAATATATTTATTCAAACGGCTTAAATAAAACACATAGTTCCAGCTAGACTTTAAGAGAAAGGCCAACACCTTCAGACTTTCACTTAAATGTGTGGGCAGCAGACGGACGGTTGAACGGTTGAAGTCACTGTCATCGAATTATTTTTTCACACCCTTTGAGAAATATGAGTGCATCTGGAAGGTACTCATACTTCAACATACTTCCATAATGGTAAATCTGGAGTTCTGCGGTCAAAGGTTTCTACGGTGAAAAACTGTTTGAAAAGGATGCCCCAAAATAGACATTCAGAAAATGGGCTATTTTCATGTAAATGTAGAAACAAATAGGAAATACAAACTAGTGTTGATTATTATTAATAATGTGTTGATTATTAAACATTAACTTCCACCTCAGGCAACATGTTAATTTCAATTGCCTTTTCTGGCTTCATTCATTACAGCCCGGTTCTACTGCACCTGCTTCACGTTCCAACGCACAAAGCATTTTCATATGGATTTCACCATTACACACATAATACTGTATATAATTCTCACAAAGAGCTCTTTACAGTCGACACAACACTTCAGGGCATTGTAAATAATATTATTCTTGATTATTGAGTGGGTTCTTGCGGATCGATGACCGGTGGACGCCGTGATCCTGAGTCTCTCTGGTCTTGGTTCTGTCTGAGTTTTCGCAGCGCTGAGCCTCTCCCTGATCAAACATCCTGAAGCTTCACTGAACTGGTCGAACCTGGAATCAAAGTGTGGGTAAAATCAGCTGTGAACACACTGGAGACTTATGATTATGGATATACAACAGTTTAAGAAATTCTGGAGCTAAAAAAACAGAAAGTAGAGACATAGTTTGTATTTTTCCCACTATTTATGCATTAGTCCCCGTGCACAGGCAGGAGCAAAACAGACTCTAAACAACTAAAACTAAGCATATTTAAAGATACACAATGTTACTTTCTTAGTGGAGGGTCCACTCTTTGCATGATTCCATTTAATTATTGATGCTTTGTCTGGAATCTTCCACACTGGCTTTAAAGCTGGAGTACTCAACTTTGAAACCAAGCAAGTGTTTTCAATTGGCTAACAATATTTCTTAAGAGAGGAGACCTGACCCAAGAATTAAGTTTGACATCATGATGAAGTAGAAATCCAGCTCAGACACCTGATTATCGGCCAAAACACCCACAAATAAAACGTTAATGAATGAATCTCAAATATGTCATGAAGTGTAGTGAATACAAACCCTGTGGAGCCTCCTCTGAGTCTGCACCGTCCTCCATGACTCTCCTCCTCCTCTGCAGCACCGACAGCAGCTCCCACTCCCCCACCTGTCTGCTCAGACCTCTCCTGGAGGACCGTGTGGAGGACCGTGTGGAGGACCGTCTGCGCCTGGGCCTCAGGTTCAAAGTGTTCTGCTCAAACAGACAAGATAAGATGATAAGATAAGATGTGCTTTAATTATCTCACAGAGGAGAAATGTACACAAAATGTGATGCAAAACAGTAAAAAGAGAGATATTGTCGTCTACAATGTAATCTGTCTCTTTTAGTGTTGGAAAGAGTATCATCTCATTCCAACGGGACATCTCACCTTTTTCATAATTTTTATGAAAAAGACTCAGATCTGACTTTAAACAAGATAAATGTACTATAATGATAATTATCAGTTAGAACTCTGAATACTTTTTCTGAAACGTGTGAGAGTTGAGTAAACAAATGAAAGTCTCTTGAAGTGAAAAGTCACCTCACAATAACACGGGGTCAGGGGTCAGGGGTCAGGGTTCGTGCAGCGCTCATGGTACATTACCAAGACTTCTTTAAGTTCCACAATGGTTGATTTTCGGTTTTCACTTCTTTGATCCTGGAAAATCATTTCTATTTTAAATCAAATGGATTTGAACATGTTGAAAATCAGCACATGGACGACGGACAGACCTCCCATGTCCCGACATCCTCCTGGAACAGAAACTCAGTAAGAATTCACCGTATTTATCACTTTCACTTTGACCACGTCACAAACCGGCGCTGGAGCAGTTGGTCTCAGGATTATTCCTTTCTTAATCCTTTCCATCATTTCATTCATAGCTATTGATTTGATATCTGCAAAAGCTGCTCCCTCTTGGACAAAAAATATAATAATTCAGCATTTTAACTTTATTCTTATTTAAAACTTGTTCATAAAAAATAGTGTAACTCACTCTTTGCGACGCCACTTTTAGCAGATTCTTTTCTTCTGTTCTTAATCATTTGAAGAGTG